GTTTCTGGGTGTCTGAATTCCAGTCTTCATAAGCTTGGCAAGCACTTTAGCGATTAATCCATCTCCCCAGGCCCTGGTGTATAGTTATATTACAATTAGCTAATCAGCCATTTAGAATCTTCACACAGGTGGGGCTTTTTTCCCCCCTAGGAACTTCCATTCACTTGTGCAGTGAGATTGAGATAAAAACTAAGATATATCCAGTAAGTTTTGCATCAGAGAAAGAGGCAGGTAACTATATTAATAAGTACTTTAATGTTGATTGACTGTGGAAACCAATTGTTGAAGAATCAATAGGAGGTACCAGTTTTAAAATGCTAATGTAAAAAACTGGATAGTGGTGGCCCATGTCTTTAATCCTGGCACTCAGGAGGCAGAGACAGGAAGATCTCTGAGTTCAAGGCCAGCCTGGTCTACAAAGTGAGTTCCAGGACAGCCAGGGCTGTTACATAGAGAAACCCTGTCTCGAAAATATAAAATAAAATGCTGGTGTAGATACTTGCTTTTGTGTGTGTGTGTGTGTGTGTGTGTGTGTGTGTGTGTGTGTGTGTGTGTTTAATACAAGGAGTCACTCTGCAGCAGGCAAGCATAAGAGATAGTTTAGCATCCTGGGACTTCACTTGGTTCATGATGTAAACACATATCCCTCTTCTAATCATGCATTTTGCAGCCTGACCCTCTTACCTATATATATTATACACACATATATACTCCTTTCTGAACAATGCATCTAGGAATCTGTTAGCAACCCAGGACACCTACCTACTCCATCTGCACATACCCCACTCCAAATAAGAAAATTGATTTCTTCCCCCACTAATGACCATCTATTGAACATGTTCCCAATGTATCTGGGTAGGAAGGAAGAAAAACCTATTGGCCTAGATTGATGTTGGGTGCATGAGCAATAAGGCAACCTATGTTCTCAATCTCCTATAATCCATCTTGTCTGCACACAATTGGGTATGTATATAATTAAAACCCGATGCACTAGGGATAGGACTTCTCAGTAAGCAAAGGCCTGTATTATCTAAGTGTGTTAAAATAAAGAAACCATGCAAACTACACCCCTTAGCAACCAAACTCCTCCTCTCCAAACCCTAAAGGAAGCCCTAAACAATAATCAGGATCCCTGAGTACCTCCCTCATGTGGCCTACTGTCAATCTTGGCAATTATTTAATTCTGTCCTATACCATTGCATTGAGTAAAGTCTCCTTGACACATTGCAGGATTTTTTTTCAGTTCTCTGAATAGGAAGCCACAAGCCTGGAAACATCCAGGCCAGACTCTGAGGACACCAGTAACATCTACTTAGCCTTTGCTGGCCCAGGACTCCTATATGTTAACCAGGCTGGCCTCAAGACAGCAGTCCTCCTGTCTTTGGCTTCAAGCAACTGGAATTACAGGTGTGAGCCACTAAGTAGCTCAGGTTGATCTGAAAAACAGTTTGTGACCCTGGCTAACCTCAAATTTGTAACAATCCTCTTACCTCAGATTCCTCTTAGTGCTAGGATTACTGGTGTGTGCCACCAAGCCCAAAGCCCAGTTAAGTATAACATTTCTTTCTTTTTTTCTTTTCTTCAAACCACAACAGTGCCAAATATTTATTGCCCATATGAATAGTTTGACAGTAAAAAGAGTTATAATGGTGTGAAAGAAACAGAGTAATAGAATTGATATTAGAGAGGATTTACTAATAAACTTTGCTTAGGAGACATTAAGTCACACAAAACAGAATTTAGTTAAGGGAGTGCTGCCTCTAAACTCACTCAAAGATAAGCACAATGCTAACCAGATTTGTCAGAGATAAGTGAGGTTTAAGATTGCTAGGACTGGGGCTGCAGAGATGACACAGCAGTCAAAGGCCCTGGCTGCTCTTCCCAAGGACCCAGGTTCAATTCCCACCACCCACACGGCAGCTCACAACTGTCTGTAACTCCAGTTCCAGGGGATCCAACATTCTCACACAGACATACATGCAGGCAAAACACCAATGTACATAAAATAAGAATAAATCGTTGACTAGGATACGGCTTCTGAAATTGTTCACAGGGGTTCACCAGCCATTAGGCTTTATAACAAAAGGAGATAACTCTGGCTTATAACCAGCCATTAGTTCCATCTTTCTATCAGAGAACAGGCCTCATAATGGACAGTTCAAGGGCAGCACGGGATGACAACCACCCTTAAGTCCTGGTCCTGGCTTGCCATTGAAGCCCACAGTTTTCTTTTTTTTTTTTTTTTATACTCAAATAAGAATTTGTTCAAATAATGTTACTGACATTACCAGGTAAATTAATAGCAATGCCAACAAATGCCTGATACATCTACTGCGGTGTTTGCACTTTTGGGGGGCTTGGTTTCTCTGGAATGGGGATTCCTAGCTCATCTGAAATTGGTCCAAATTCCTGGGTGATGCAGGCGTAGATTTCCTTATGGAGGCTTGCTTTGTCCTTAGCAAGTGTAACATTTCTTTTGTTGTTGTTTTGATTTTTAGAGACTCACCATGTAGCTCTGGCTGTCCTTGAACTCAGAGATCCACTTGCCTTAGCCTCCTGAGTGATGGAATTACAGCTGTGTGCCATAATGCCTAGCTAAGTGTAAATAGTTCTACAGTACGCTATAAAGGGGAGAACTGATGTTGCCAAAAACCTAACTCCTCCTCCAAGAGAGACTTAAGTATTTGAATAATAACGGAAAGAATTCAGGGAGCATTTAGGAACCCTGGAGAATGGAATGTTAATCTAAGATTCTTGGAGTAGGCTTCAAGGATTTCTATCCTGAAGAGAAAATGAGGGAGTGAAAGGTAATTCAGATGCTAGATTTGCAAATTTTATTATTGGGAAATTGGGAGAAGTCTGCCTTTGTTTGAAGGAGACCTAGTAGTATAAATGTGAGCAACAGTTAGGTTTGGTATTGAAATCTGATTGGGTGGATAGTGAAGCCATTCATATAAAGTGTTTTCCAAGACATTTTGTGAGGGTAGAGAAATATAACTTGTTATATTTTAGAAGAAAAATCCCAATGTGATATCTTATTATCTACCTCCTTCTGTGACATGCCCCCTTGCCAACTCTGCGTATCATTAGTCATCTTTAAAAAATTGATTTATGGGGGCTGGAGAAATGGCTCAGCGGTTAAGAGCACTGGCTGCTCTTCCAGAGGACCCGGGTTCAATTCCCAGCACCCACATGGCAGCTCACAACTGTCTGTAGCTCCAGTTCTAGGGAATCTGACATTCTCACACCAATGCACATAAAATAAAGTTAAATAAATTTAAAAAAAAATGATTTATGACTATGTGGGTGGTTTTTAAGCAAGTATGTGGATAGCCAAGGAGGCCATCAGGGGGAATTAGTCACCTGGAGCTAGAGTTATAGGCAGCGCTAGAGTTATAGGCAGCCATAGACATGCAGGGAAACAAACTCGGGTGATTTGCAGGAGCCGTACATGCTAACTGCTGAGCCATTTCCCCAGCTCCCACAGTAGCCTTCTTTTTGGTACTCAAACATTACCTGAGCTATTTCTGCCTTGGTGTTTTTGAATAGCTTTAGTTTCTGTCTAGGTTACTCTTACCCTGGACTGATTGGCCTTTTGACATTTCTTGTCCTTTTTTTTCTTCAGGCATCCAAATACCCAATCTAAAAGAACCACCCATTCTCCCATTAACCTTTTCTGCCCGCAGTTCTGGAATTTAAGTAACCTATGTATAAAGATTTAGTAGCTTTAGTTCATTGCTGCAGTTTCTGTTGCACTGGAGCCATTTGCACCAAGGCCCTGGAAAGTGGATGGACAGTATTTTTCTTATGGGTCTGAGTATTTGGCCTGCACAAACAGCAGAGATGGGTCAGGAAAGGAATGTAGCAATGCACTTATTAATAGTGTGCAGCCAAGAGCAGATGTCTGTCCTTTGAGAACCAGATGACTTGGCCTTGTGCTCCATCTCGTTTGTGAGCAAATCAACCTACTCTTCCTTAAGAACTAGGAGGGAAGTTGATCATCAAGGCATGGTAGCATATATTGGCACTTGGGAGGCAGAGGCAGGTGGGTCTGAGTTCCAGGCCAGCCAGGGCCGCACAGTGAGACCCTATCTCAAATAAAGGAATAAATAAATAAAATCTGTTTTTTTTTTTTTTTTTTTTTTGGTTTTTCGAGACAGGGTTTCTCTGTGTAGCTTTGCGCCTTTTCCTGGAACTCACTTGGTAGCCCAGGCTGGCCTTGAACTCACAGAGATCCGCCTGGCTCTGCCTCCCGAGTGCAGGGATTACAGGCGTGCGCCACCACCGCCCGGCCTGTTTTTTTTTTTTTTTAAAAAGAGGATTCTGAAGGTGGTTATGGTGTATTGTAAACGCATATCCTTTTTCTTAACTTTTTTCTTTTTTACATTTTTATTTACTATACTTGTTTAGAGGTGTGGGGGTGGGCTTACAAATGCCACATAATACTCAGAGATTAGGGGACAACTTGCAGGGCTTTTCTCCTAACATGCAAAAAGGACTGCAAAGAAAAGGAGTTGAAACCAAAACAAGAAACAGCCACGAGAAAAACACTTCAGGACTCATTTTTATTTGTGCTCCATTTAGTTTCCGGATATTTAGAAAAAAAAAGTTTCATGTCCCCCAGGGTATCTTGGAATAAGCTAGTAACCAAGGATATTTTCTAAAAGTCCTAATCCTGCTGCCTGGACTTGCCCTGCGCGAGATGACAGGAATGCATCACCAAGCCAGGGAAGGAGGCGCTGAGGCTAACCCAAGGCTCAGCGCCTGCTAGGCAAGCATTACACCTCCAGCCCGTTTCAGTCTTGTCTTTTCCAGTCAGTTTATCACCCATTCATTACCTTTATCTCACCCTAAATTAGCCATAACCTTACTTTCTCATCCCTGCTTACAAACCAGCCATCCTCAGAATTATCCGGGAAGGAATTTTACAAAAATGCGAACTACTGCGAGCTTGGCAGTTTCTGCCATCCTAACCTCGACCTGCAGCATAGTTTTCTTACCGAAGGGACCATCGATTGGGGGTAGGTATTCAATCACGTCAGCGTGTGAAAAGGTCTTGCGTCAAAAGTTCCTGCACACCGCTGAACAATTCGGAGCCATCAGTAAATAAAAAGAGACACTCTGGCCTCCTGCGCTCCGCGGAGTCTCCCCCCTCACGGGAGAAGTTCGAGGCTGGAGGCTGCAACACCCACTCTCCCCAAGATTTCTGGTCCAGGTTAAAGGCTTAACTCGACCCGACCGCCGAGAGGCGGACCGCAAAGACAAACTCTCCTAAATCTCGTGAGCCGCGGTCCAAAGTGGGCGGGGAGCCGGAAGTCTCGCGAGACGATGGGGTTTTTCCCGCGAAGAAGAAGCGCGCGTTTTTCTCGCGCCGGGGGATAGAGCGAGCTGGCCGGGAGCGCTTGGCTGTGAGGAGTTAGTGCGCGGCGTTTGAGGCGCTCGGAGGAGGCGAGCGGGTCCCGTCGGGTGTCCAGCCATGCCTGCGGAGCAGCCCGCGAGCAGCAGCGGTGAGCCGGCGGCGTGGGTGGCTGCGGCGCACGTCGCGGGAGGGAGCCAGCCGGGGCCGGGGCTGAGCGGGGAAAGGAGGCGTGGGGAGCCGTGGGGAGGCGAGCGCAGCGCCGCCGGCCACCTCGCCTGTCGTCGGGCTGCACCAGAGGGTTTCCAGCAGTCTCCCCTGCACACCCCTTCAGGAGCTGGGTCCCGGCTGCTGCTTCGGCTTCTGCTTCCAGTGCGTCTGGGAAGGGAGGGAGCAGAGAGTCGTGGCCTTGGGAGTGGAGGAGCTGTGACTTCGATCCCATTCTGAAAGCACCCCCATCCCTCCCCTTAGGGCCCTTAGCCCCAGAAATGGCTGAGCAGACGGAACCTGCCGTGATTACTCCAGCCATGCTGGAGGAGGAAGAACAGCTCGAGGCTGCGGGACTTGAAAGGGAGCGGAAGATGTTGGAAGAGGTGAGAGCCCCGGGACCCGAGGCTCACCCCGCGGGCGGTCCTCCACCACCTGCTTGGTCTTTCCTTGAACTTCAAAGCAGCCTGGTCACCTCGGTCTTTCTCCTTCGTGTAAAGATGAAATCTTGGCATGTGCTTTGAATGATAGGTTTCTGAGGTCTTGGGCGGGGGTGGTCACAACATATCTTGAGTGAACGTTTCACTCAAGATTGCCTTTTTGACTAATTATTAAGATTCTTCTGCAATCACTGGTGAATGCTTTCCTTTGCCATCTTCTCTATTTGCTTTTTAAATATGTACCTTCGCTGAATGCCTGATGGCCCAAATTAATCTTTAACACCCTGAGTCATAATTACTAGACAGAGATGATAGATATTGGCATCAATCAAAGGCTGGGCTGAAATCCAGGTCTACTGATTATTTCCTCCTCTTTTTTTTTCCTTTTCTATTTTGTTTGTTTTGGGGACAGTTTTATTCAGGTTTTCAGGCTGGCCTCCACACCCCAAGATGCCCCGGTCTGGTTTCCCAGAACTGGAATTACTGGAGTGTGCTACCATTCTTTGCTCCTAATGATTTCTCATCAGTTAATTACTGTTTGCTACCTAAGTGATCAACTTGTTTTAGTTTTCTATAAATAAAATTCTTTAGCCAAAATTGAAGTGTATATATTCATGACAAGTTAGAGTATTTGTAGTTTCTGTAAATAGACTCTTTATAACTTAGTAAAAGCAACTTTATAATATTTGGACAATTTAGTTTTTGTTTAGTACTATGAAGTCCCCCCCTGCTGCTTAATTGTTGAGAAAGCAAGAAAGAGAGTGATACAATCCTGGAAAATTCTTAAATCCTTAGTTACCTTGAATTTATTTCAGCCTATCAGTATAATATGACTTATCTTTGGGGTTTTTAGTCTTACTTTTGTAGCCCAGGCTGATCCTTCTGTCTGAGCCTCTCAGGTATGGAATTATAGGCCTGTGCCACCTTGTCTGGCTTATATTCTTTTTTAAAACATTTTTCCTTTGTTTTGAAATGTTTATTCATGTGTGGGTGGGTGGGAGGGGTATGTGCACTTGAGTCTGGAGTGCCTGCAGATGCCTTGGAGCTAGGGTAGGCTGGTTGTGAGCCACCTGACACGACATGGGTGCTGGGAACCAAGCTTGAACTTCTGCAAGAGCAGTTGCACTTTCCCCGCTGAGCCGTCTCCAGCCCAGATTCATATTACAAATGAGCAAACTGAGCCAGTTGGTCAAAAAGTAAGTGTTGAAGACAAATTTGAACTCGGGTCCTGAGTTCCCTTCCTTTCCAACTGTGCCCTTTCATGAAAGGAAATATACCTTACTGGGATATTGAACTAACTGAGCCTAAATAGAAAACTGCTTAATTTGGGAACTAATCTATCCTGAAACAAGTGATGACTCACATGGTTCATGTTAATTACTTTATATGTCAGTGCTCCTGCCCATTTATTTGTGTGTTTGTGTTGCCCATGGAGGATGAACGAAAGTTGATGTCAGGTGTCTTCATTCTCCATTTAAGTAAGAATTATTAATGTGCATGGGCCTGTGTACCTTGGCACTTGTGTGGAAGTCAGAGGACAGCTTTATAGAATCAGTTCTCTTTCCATCCACCTTTATGTGGGTTCCAGGGATTGAACTCAGATGTCAGGCTTGAGGGCCTTTACCCACTGATCTATCTCCCTGCATGCTACTTGATTTTTTGAGACAGAATCTCACGGAACATCATCTCACACCTTCAGCTAGATAGGGCAACAAGCTGGGTGTGTGTGTGTGTGTGTGTGTGTGTGTGTGTGTGTGTGTGTGTGTGTGTCCTCCTGACTCCTCCTTTCCAGTGTTGGGATTGCTAACATCTCCAATCCCACTTTTATGGGGTTCCAGGAGTCCTAACTGAGGTCCTCATACTTTCGTGGTAAGCACTTTGTCAAATAAGCCAACTCCCTAGCCCCTGCCAGTCAGCATTCTTAACTCCTTTTGTTTTGTTTTCTCTGAGTGGCTATGGGAACATATCATATGCTTCTAGTTAGTCTCAAACTAGCGAGGCTCTGGCATTGTTAAACTTTAAGATTTATTAAGAGTAAGGTCACACTAGGCTGCATGCCTGTAATCTTAGCACTTGGAATGTGGAGACATGAGGGTCGGATATTCAAGGTTATTCCCTACATGGGTCATCTTCAGATATGTAGCTATATAGAGAGTTGTGGGGACAGCTTGACTTATATGAGATCCTGTCTTAAAGAGAAACAGTGCTGGGTATGGTACTTCACACCTATAAATTAACCACAACACTTGGGAGAGTGAGGCAGGAGAATTGCTGCAAGTTTGAGACTATCCTAGGCTACATAACAAGACGCTTTATCAAAAAAAGTCACCGGGTTAGAGATAATGCTCAGCTCTTAACACTACTTGCGCTTTCAGAGGATCCCTGTAGGATTGGTTCTCAGTACTCACATGAGTACTTACAATCATCTATAACTCCAGTTCTAGGTGATCAAAAATCCTCTTAAGAACAACAACACAGGTATCAGGCATATGTGTGTTACATATACATATATACAGGCAAAAGAGTTAAACACATAAAATAATTTTTTCTCACCCCTAAAACAAATCTTAGTTTATGGAGACAGTTTCTCTGTGTAGCGCTGGCCGTCCTGGAATTCATTGTATAAACCAGGCTGGTCTCAAACTCACAAAGATCCACCTGCTTGGATTAAAGGTGTGTGCCAACACCACCTGGCATAAATTTTTTTAGAAATTTATTTATTTATTATGTATAGTGTTCTGCCTACATGTGTCCCTGCAGTCCAGAAGAGGGCACCAGATCTCATAAGTGGTTGTAAGCCACCCTGTGTTTGCTGGAAATTGAACTCAGGACCTGTCAGAGAGCAGTCAGTACTCCTAACCGCTGAGCCATCTCTCCAACCCCCAGCATAAATCTTTTTTTTAAAAAAAAAAGGGTTGTCATGCTGGACATGGTGGTGTGTGCATGCCTTTAATTTCCACACTTGGGAGGCAGAAGCAGGTGTGAGTTAGAGTCTAGCCTGGTTCCAGACCAGCCAGAGTTACATAGTAAGACTGTCTCAAAAAAGAAGAAAAAAATCAGATTTTAGTTTCAATTTAGTTTACTCATTGATGCCTCAACTATTTTATGATGAAGATAGAGTTATTTCTAATTGTATTTTAAAAATTGTAGAGTTAGAGAGGTGGGTCATTGCTCTTGTAAAGATTCTGAGTTTGAGTTTAAAACCTATGTTGGGTGGCTTACAACTGCCTATAACTCCAGCTCCAGAGGAATCTGGCATCTCTGGCATCTGTGCACACCTGCAGCCTTTCCAAAGACACAAGTTCAATTCCCAACACTCACATGGTAGCTCACAGTCCTTTGTAACCCCAATTCCAGGGGATCCAGTCCCCTTCTGGACACCAGGCACACAAGTGTCAAAAACATACATGTAGATAAAACATCCATACCATAAAGTTAAAGAAAATTACTCAATAAATAAATTATATAAAAATAATACAAAAATTAGGTTTGTAATTCCAAAATGTATGTGACATGAATGCAGTGATCTAGCTGGGTGTGGTGGCCCATGTGTAATCCCAGTACCTGGGAGGTAGATGCAGGAGAATCGATTCAAGGTCATCGGTAAGTTTGAGGTCAGCCTGGGCTATTCAAAGAAAGCTAAAGCATAAAGGCAAAACTGGGGAATACAAAATGCTGGCAAGGGCTAATAAGACATGAGTAGTAGAGTACGCATGTTGAATTTTGAAGAGAGGTTTGCGCACTGGTGAGATGGCTCAGCTGGTGAAGTGTTTGGTTGGTGTACAAGCCTGGCAACCTGAGCTCTAACCCAGAACCCATGTAAAGGTGGAAAGAAAGAACTGACTTCAGAAAGTTGTCCTCTCATCTTCAAAAGTGGGTGCCCAGGCCTGCAAATGCTTACGCATCTTGCATGCACACAGACAAATAAGAAAAGAAAAAGGTTTATTTTGGTGTTACTGTTTTGATCCAAGTAACTGGGACTGAATTTGGTGATGATCTTGTAGGCTGAATCAAGTGGCAGAGGGCATCATATAGCACAGGCTTTGTTTTTGTTTTTCTAATAGTTTTGAGACAGGATCTCATGTAACCCAGATTGGCTTGGAACTCCCTATGTAACAGTGACTATCCTTGAACTCTTGATTGTCCTTCATCTACCTCCTGAGTACTGGGATTATGGGCATTTGCCACTATGCCTGGGTAACAGCAGTTTTAAAGTTTTATAAAGATGTGGTAGACCCTGGCTAGTAAGGTTTTGTTTTAATTA